TGGCACTTGGCACCGACCGGCAACGCAACACGCCCTGCCCGCTTGCAGTTCCGGGGCAAGCCGGGGTGGGCGCAGTCGGGCCCCACAAAGGGCTCGGCGCACACGAGCGGCCGTCCTCGCAGCGCCCGTGGCCGCTGCAGGCGCCGGGGCAGGCGGGCACCTCGCAGGCGGCACCCTCCCAGCCCTGCTCGCAGCGGCAGCCGCACGTCTCCTGGGAGAAGGTCCCGTGGCCGCTGCACTGGCGGCCCTGACCTGCCAGGGAGAGGAAAGGCGGGGTGAGGGCTGGAGCGTGAGGGCCTCCTTCCCTGGCGACCCAAAGAGCGGACCTGCAGGGCTCTTTCTCTGAGGACGGTAGGGGTCCGACCCTCCCAACCTGGGCCAGACTGGGACCTGTGAAAGCTGCAGACGTTTCCTCTCCTCTGCAAAGGAACCAGCCTCCCCTTCCCCGCCCACCCCCAGTGCTCACGTGAATCCCCGGTTCCCTCCCCTCTAAATGGCGGTCAGCCTTTAGTTCTCTCCTTGAGGGGCCCTGGCTCCAGCCTGCGCGGGGGCTTGGCTTATCTTGGCTGCAGGCGGCTGGACCAGCGAGGCCAGGCCCTTGGCAAGTGAGCCCACACTGAAGCCCGGAAAAGTGGACCTGCAGAAGCTACCCAACAGCCCAGAAGGCACGGGGTGAGGGTGGGGGGAGGGATTAGCCAGGATCCCCTCTCTGACCCTAGACAGCAAGGGGCAGTCAGAGGGTGGGCCAGTCAGCCCCGCCCCTTTCTCAGAACACCTGCTTTCCTTCCTAAAAACACTTCCACCAGGAGACTCCCCAGGGGCAATTCCTGGCAGCCTCCAGGTGTCTAGTTTTGTGTCCAGCGTATAAGGGTGCTCTTAGCCAGAGCAATTTCTTCAGGCAATAGAAATGCATGGGGAGGGCCACTTGTTATTATTTGGATCAGCCTGGGAGGTTAAATAAAAAAATGAAGGGATTGAGAAGTACAGATTGGTGATTATAAAATAGGCATGGGAGCATAAAGTACAGCATAGGAAATATAGTAAGTAATCTATATATATAAAAGCCTAAGCAACTGGTGGAGGGCCAACCATCCAGTAGCTATGACATGCAATGACCACCAGGGGGCAGACGCTCAATGCACAGACATGGAAACATGGAACAGACTGATGAATCTCAGAGGGAAAGGGGAAGGGGGGAGGGAGGGAAGAGATTAAACAAAGATCTTATATGCATACTAGAGGCCTGGTGCACAGATTTGTACACCGGTGGGGTCCCTCTGCCTGGCCTGCGGGGATCAGGCCGAAACTATCTCTCTGACATCCCCCGAGGGGTCCCAGATTACGAGAGGGTGCAGGCCAGGCCAAGGAACCCCACCAGTGTACGAATCCATGCACTGGGCCTCTAGTATTGCAATAACTATGCATGGTGCCCATTGGGTACTGGAAATATGGGAGGTGGGGGGAACACCTTAGTATATAATTGTCTGACCACTATTCTGTACACCTAAAACTAATGCAGACTAATACTGAATGTAAACTATAATTGAAACAACTTTTTTTTCTTTCTTCTTTTGCAGGAAGCCCAGATATATTCAGAGGGACAGCAACCCAGCTACCCCATCCCCTTCAGCCTCCTGAAGGGAATGCTCTGCCTTCCTCCACCCAGCCCACTTTGGCCTGTCTTAACCGAGTGCTGAGTTCTAGTTAGATTATGTCTTGCTTAACTCCAGCCCCTTCCCTCCCCACCTCTCTCACCAGACCACCAGCAAACTTGCTGAGGGAGGCTAAAAGAATGGCCAACCTTCCCTTAAGTAGTCATGCCTGGGAAGGGGAAATTTTAATGACATGTGCAGTGGGCTACTTGCTATAATTTTTTAAAAAACAATTGGCTGACTCTCTACTATGGACCAGGAATCTCAAATACATCATCTGTAGTTCTGACTAGTTGATGGAATTATCCTCACTGGACAGTTCAGGAAACGTAGGAATCTGCCCAAAGGTCATAGAGCTAAGAAGTGGCAGACCTGGGTTTGCCCCAGCCCTACTAGCTCTGTCCTCTCAACTCCACTGCATTCCCTATAGAAGGGATTGGCCCACTGGCAAAACAGCACCCAGGAGCCTTCTCACCTGGAAGCCTGAACCAGGAGTTCCGACTCACTTACATCCCTTCCTGCTCCACTTGCAGATGCCCCTGGAGCTAGTGCCAGCAATGAGGTCCCGTGGGGAAACCCAGATTGAGGGGTGGGAATGCACCAGACTCAAGAGTGCTCATGGGGCTGGTGGAAAGCCCGGCACCCAGAAGGTGCTCACTAAGTGTTTGTTGAATGAGTACCAAAAGGTGAGCTCACCGGCAGCTCCCTGGCAGCAACGCTGGACGTCACACCGCTCCTTCACCTCCGCCATCTCGCCCTCCAGCTTCTGCACCCGGGCCAGGAGGTCCTGGACAAGGCCTGCCAGCTCGCAGTCCTTCTGTGGTGTCTGCAGGCGGATGTTGTGTCTGAAGATGATATTCTGTTCCTCGGCCTCTCCCAGGGCCAGGAGCGAGGCCCCTTCATCACTGAGGGGCTGAGGGTCAGCCTCCACCTGGACCAGGGCAGACTTGGGCACATCAATCTTGTAGGTGTGGCTGACGGTCAGCTGTTGCTCCTTGTCACTGCAGCTATGAGGCTCGAGAGGGGCCGGGGCCGAGGCCACCAGCAGCACAGAGCCAAACAGGAGCCCCAGGGGGAAGCAGAAGGTCCCCATCCTTGGAGAGATGAGGCGCAGACCCTCCAGCAGGCCTGTATGCAGAGAAAAGGAAGATAGCCATGGAGATTTGCTGATGGAAACTAGCCTTTTTAAATGGATCCTGAGAGTCCACAGGCAGCTGAGAAACCAGCAGAAAGATTTTGTCCTGCATCTGCTGAGGTTCTGAACTACATTACCTCTGTTCTGTCCTCACACGCTGCACATTCCTGCCTCCTGTCTTTGTTTCCCTTGCACTGTTCCCACTACTGGGAGGCCTTTCTCTGTGCTTCTAATTCTGTACTCACCTGCATTTTAATAATGACAAGGAGAAGAACTGTCTTGTGTTGAGGGCCTACTGTGTGCCAGGCTTTGATCCCCTAATCCCTAATCTTTACAACAACCCTAATGTTGTCCTCCCCATGGACGATGCCAATCTCATGGTGGCCAGAGAGCACGTGCTGTGTGCCAGGCACCATTCTAAGTGTTCCACACTTATCACTTCATCTTCACAACAACCCTTCGTGGAATTTACTATTATCACCCCCGTTTTACAGATAGGGAAACCGAGGCACAGTTAGCTACCTTACATGATTTGTCCACAGGCACACAGCCAAGTGGCAGAGTTTGAAGCCAGGCAGTCTGGCTCGAGTCCATGTTCGTCAGCACTCTGTCCTGCGCAGAGGAGGAAGCGTAGGCTGGAGGGATGGAGCACACTGTCCTGGGTACCATGGCCAGCGAGGGCCACGCCTGTGCTCAGATTCCAGGCCAGTGTCCTGTTCACCACCTCTGCCTACAAGCCAGGAAAAGTTCACAATTTCCACTAAAAATGCCTTCTCCCTGAAGTCTTCCACATCCCAGCTGGAATGAGCCCTCCTTCTGCTAAACATTCAGAGAAATGCTACTGTCCCTCTGTGGGTCCCTTGATGGGTTACCCTGTGCATAGTTCCTCTTGCTGCATCCTGTCTGCCCATGACTCTGTGAGACTCTTAAGGACGAGACCCAAGGTTGATTCCTCTAGGGCCGTGGTCGGCAAACTGCGGTTCGTGAGCCACATGCGGCTCTTTGGCCCCTTGAGTGTGGCTCTTCCACAAAATACCACGTGCGGGTGCACACGTACAGTGCGATTGAAACTTCGTGGCCCATGCGCAGAAGTCGGTATTTTGTGGAAGAGCCACACTCAAGGGGCCAAAGAGCCGCGTGTGGCTCGCGAGCCGCGGTTTGCCGAGCCGCAGTTTGCCGACCACTGCTCTAGGGGCCCCTCCCAAGGCATGGGCACAGAGGGGTTCAATCCCCCTCAAATCCATCAGTGCCACAGGGCAGAGCAATCATTGGCTATGATGGGAAGAGACCTACACCCCAAAGTTTGGGGGGAACAAGGACAGGTAAATCCTGCTACAGGAAGAAGGCAACTGGAGCCAGAGCTGAGTGCAGCCCACAGCTCAGCCAGCGTGTGCTGCCCCCGTGGGCAAACCACAGGAGGAGGCGCCCAGCAGGCAGGGCAGAAACCACAGGAGGTTCCCGCAGGAGCGGCAGGTGGAGCCAGCATGGGCGCAGCTGTCATAACAAGGGCATCTGCTGACCACAGGGAACCACACCAGTCCAGCCGCACACAAACCCCTTCTCCCTTCTCTTCTGCCCCCACCTCCCTGCCTCTGTCAGCCACCTGGGGGAGCCAGCAGCAGCTACAGGTTTGGGAAGGGGAGGAAGGAAAGCCCAGGACAACCTCTGTCCCTGGTCCCCTCCGGCTCACCTCCAATTCCAGCATCAGGCCTGAGTTGGGTGAAAAGAAAGATGTGGCCTGGATGGATGCTGAGGCTCTGATACTGGGATGGACCTGCCTTTCCAAAGGCTTCTCTTCCAATACCTAAAGGCACCAGAAAAGCCCTGGAATCCCTGGAGATTTTTGTCGGAGGTTGGGGGAGGGGAGGAGAGCCAGCAGAGTGGGCTGCTGGGTGGGTGCAGGATGAACATAATGCTATTTCACAACTGCTGTCTTCACCAGCTCAGCCGGTGGCATGGAGCAGCCCTGCACACCACCACCTCCTCAGAGGCATGAAGCAGTGCGCCTGATTATGCAAGGTCAGTGCCAGGCCGCAGACGCGGACCCAGGAGCACAGGGTCCCCTCACCGAGCCGTTAACCCCTGTGCGCGTCTGCCATCCCCAAAACCACAGATTGATCTCAGACAGCCTTCTTGGTCCCGGGCAGCAACAGAGTAAAATGCAATCTCAGCTTCTCTGCCCACTCCTCCATCCAGGCCCAAGGCCCAGCCGGTCTCGCTGTTCTCTGGGCCACAGACGGCCTGCGGATGGCTTTCTGAAGCCGCTCCCAGCACATGCACAGAGCCACCGACTCCTGCCATAACCGCAACACTGGGCAAAGCCCAGGCTCAGAGTTTGTTTTTTGAAGCCGGGAATATGAGAAGCCCCAGACGCCCTGCAGGAGCTCTGGGTGTCCCCGTCCTGAGTTGTAACAAGATGTCCTCGATAATTACAGCCTTGTCGGTTCCACGCTTGAGCTCAGATTTTCCTGGGCAGAGTCATTGCTCGAAAGAAGCTGGGGCAGGCGGGGGAATCCTCAGCCCAGCAGTCCTCCCCAGGGCCAGGAGCACGAGGAGCCTCCTGGCTCTCCCTCCCACGTGGCAGGAGACCCGGCCTGTGTCACAGCTTAAGGAAGGGATGAGCTCACCAACTCTTGCAGGCACAACCGACCACAGAGAGCCCACGAGGGTGGGACGGGGAGGGCAGGGCTGCACATCTCATCAAGACACATGCAGGGTAGTGAGGTTCCGAATGGGATGATTCCTCTATTGACGAAGTTTCTAACAGAAAGTGGGGTGAATGCTGCAGGAATGTATGAGGCAAAGGGGGTTCACATGCAGGAGACCGCAGGACATCAGGTGTCCCCAGGAATCATTCCCACCTCTGATCACGTCCTACATTCTGCTGGCAGGCAGGGTAGTGGGTGATGGGGACAGGTGGGGGGCAGAGGCAGGCTAAGACTCAGGGTGAATGCTGCCCGAAGTGGCTTTTACCAGAAAGGCTCCTGGAGGTGTGTGCTGCTGGCGGTGAGCTGGACGGATGATCCCCTGGTTGTCTGGGAGGCACACTGACGTCACAGGGCTCTATGCCTGGGCTCTATTTATTCTTCCTTGGTGGCCACATCTACCCTGTGGCTTTAATTTCTAGCCAAACACTGATGGCTCCCGAATCTGCATGTGCGTTCCTGGGCCAGACGTCCCTGTAAGCTCAGGGATGGCAGTGCCAGGACTGTGGGTCCCCCTGAATCCCCAGCCTCACAGCACGGTCCTGGCCTACGTAATCTGTGGATTAGATTATAATAGCCACGAGGTTTTCTGCACGTTTGTCAGATGATGGGAACTGTGCCAATACTTTATGAACACTATTCTCATTTAATCTGCAGAATCCCAGGCGTCCATTCTTGGTTATAGATGCTCTGAGAGGTTAAGTGACCTGCCCACGGTCACACAGCTAATAAGCAGCAGAGCTGGGGTAAAATACCAGGGCCGTCCATTCCTCACGTCTGTGTCTCCCTCCCTCTGCTGTGTGTCCTGCCCCAAATGAGGAAGCCCAGTGAGAAGATTGCCACGTGTGAAAAAAGACCCAAATGTCCTCTTTCCCGTGGTACTTAAGAGAGGGCGCTTCTGAAATAAAGGAAACCGAGGCAGGGCAGGTGCTCGTTACCGGTTAACTGTCCAGTGATTAAATTTCACGCTTCACTCCCTCTGGGCAGTGCAAGCAGGACCCTGGGAGGATAAACCGGTGTTTCTCCTGGGAGGTGGAATCCAGTTGCGTCTGGTGAGAGGCTGGGCATCCCCTTCCTGGGAAACAGTGTGGACCAGGCCCCTGTGCAGGGGCAGACGTCCCCCAGCCTTGGCCAGAGCGGTATGGACCCTGAGTCCCACACGGCCCTCTCAGTCACAGGCTCATGGCCTCCGTCCGTGTCACCTCATTTTCCCCAAAGAAGGGCATACACCTGGTCAGGACGAAATACACTACTTGCACCAAAGAGAGCGGCAGCCTGTTTCTTAGCCGCCGTTACAGACCTTTCCGCTTAAACCCAGGCTTTCTCTGGCTCCCTCATTACCTCATCCTGTCTAGTTAACCACAAGCACGCGAGAGCACTGCCTGGGGTTTTAGGAAAACTGATGATCGTGGGTTTCCAGTGAAGTCATTAAAAAGGTGCTCTGTCCCCAAATGACAGGGTGGCCGTCCCTGATATGGAGGCGTGCGAGCGCTCCTGCCAGGCTGCGCCGCTCCTGCTGGGCGCACTCCGGGCAGACCCAGGATGGATAGGAGCATTTCTGTTTCTAGTCTCGGTGCCTCTGACTCTGCACAGGCGTGCCGTACAGGACGCGGGCAGCCAGGTGTGCGTGAGAGTACATGTGGTCTCATGTGATAAGGCTTCAGATAGTCACGCTCCAAGCATCATGCTGTCCCCTCACTCTTCTGGTTGGTTCAGTGGAATACACCCAGTAAACACCCCAAATATCCTTGCAGATGACTCACACCCCACCGTGCCGTACCCCTTTTCCTGGCCTCAGCACTCAGTCCCTTTTCCAGGGGTGGCCACAAGCTGGTGTGATGGTTTTGTGTTGTCAACCGAACCTTAATCTGCGTTGCAAAGGCTCAACCGGGTGATGGGAACTGTGGCACCATTTCCTAAGCACCTACTGTATGCAGGCCTCTGTGCCAAGTGCCGAAGGTCTTCCTGAGCACCAGGCGAAGATGCCCACACCCCACAGGAAGGAGCCCCTTTTTCACAAAAGACCGTCCTTTCACTTTCTTGGAATGTACGGGTTCAAGCACAAAGACAAGACCACATGGACACAAGGGCATGAATTCAGGGACCTGGAGCCAGCCGAAGCACACGCCCGGTCTCCTATGCATTAGAACGACTATGCATTAGAACGACTTTGTATGACCTGAGACCCAGCCAGCCTCTTCCCGTGGCAGGCACCTGATGACGAACTGCTCCCACTGAAGGACAAGAACAGAGGACCAGGCAGAGAAGCTGCGATTCCTTCCCGTAGTTCAACGTTGCTTTTCCACACACAGAAGTAACGTTCAAGACCCAGCCTCTTCAAGGGAGACAGGCTTTTCCTGCTCAAGGGTCTGCCCTGCCCCAGCCACACTCTCCAGGTCTGTCTTCAAGACCAACAGCCATACTGAGAGGTGGCTGGGGCTCTGGCAGTGAGTCTCCTGTGGTGGGTGCCAGCAAAGCCCCTGTCCATCGGGCATCAGCCCGAGATCTCAGCATCACCAGCTCGCCGACTGGTGGCTCCAGACGCTGCTGTAAAACCGAAACCACGATCGCATGTCTGGATCCAGACCCACAGGAGCCAAGGCTCCGAATGAGCCTTGGACGGACAAGAGTTTCCACTGGGTCTGGGCACAGTTTCCTCAGGCGTCTTCTCAGGAACAGACCTCAGTCTACCCTGCATTTCAAACCACAGAACCAGCTGGACAGACACCAGAAGCCAGGGATGATTTGAGTCGCCTGTCCTGTTTCCCTCCTGCAGGAGGCAGCTGCAGCCACAAACTTGGGGACACAGCAGGAATTGAAATTGTATGGAACAGCAATTTTCAACCGGCATGCCACAATGTTTAAAACATGCAATACCTGACTATTTAG